GGACTGGCCCCGGGATCCCGGACCGGAGGAGCTGGGCCTAACCCCGGGCTGCCGGAGGAGCTGGGCCTAAAACCGGGCCTAACCCCCAAGCTGCCGGAGGAGCCGGGCCTGACCCCTAGTTCCCGGAGGAACCAGGCCTAAACCTTGGATCCCAGACCAGAGGAGCTGGGCCTAACCCCTGGCTCAGCCCCAGGCTCCCAGAGGAGCTGAGAGTATCCCCAGGTCTCCCAGAGGAGTGAACCTAGGCCTGGGCTGCTGGAGGAGCCGGCCCTAACCCCGGGCCTAACACCAGGCTCCTGGAGAAGCCAGGCCTAACCCCGGGATCTCAGAGGAGCTGGGCCTAACCACACGCTGCTGGAGGAGCTGAGCCTAAGCCCAGGCTCAACCCCCAAGCCTAACTCTGGGGCTCCCGGAGGAGCCAAGCCTAGCCCCGGGCTCCCCAAGCGCTTCACTGCATGACACTGCACCGCTTTGTCTTGCTCGTTTCCCCTCACCCATCACCTTCCCCTTCGGGCGTGAGGTACTCAAAGCAGAATGTACCTACCAACAGTCCTTGCTGCAAGGAGAGAAGCAACCCCTCTCCCTCCTAAAATGAGGCTGCCAGCACTGAGTGGTGTCCCTATGGCATTGAAATGCCCAGGACCGTCTATTCAAGCGCGTCCTTCACCTGTCTGGTTCCTGTCCCCAAGCGCGCAAAAGCTCACTTTAACAAAACCTGGGCAGTTTCCAGCTCCACTGATTCACAGTCAATTCTGTCAGCTGTTCTCGCTGGTGCCATCAGAGCAGAGGGCCTTGAGGAAGGGTTAAAGGAAACCCTTCTGGGCTGAAAGGGACCTGCAAGCCTGCAGGAAAGCACAGAGCGGTGGGAGAAGTGCCTGAAGATGGATGATGTCCCATGAAACGTGCACTGCACCAGTAGCTGCGAAACCCAAGAAGTCATCTGATCTTTTGAAGCAGTGAAGGAGCAGAGCCTACACAACAGCCTCTTTCTTTGGGAGGAGCAAACATCTGCATGGCCTGAAAACACCACCACCAGGGAAAAAAAAAAAAGAGGATGAACCCACATGTCACTGGTCAGCAAAATCCAATAGCAGAAGCTCAGAGTTGGGCCCACGGGTGGCCAGAGGGACACCAGAGCCAGCCTGCCCGGCCTGTGGGAGGAGCTGAGACAGGAGCCATCGCGTCGCTTCTGGGCAGTGTTCAGGGAGGCACCGACCGGCTCCAGAAGAAGTCATAGGCGAGTCTGTTCTGCTGCATTGGCCTTTCAAAGGGATAATGGGTCAGGTAAAGAGGTAGAGTTGGTGGAAAATAATTCTGCTCAAAGACAACCTTCCTCAGACCTGGAGAAGAAACTTCTTTCGTGCTTGTAGGCAACTCACCTTGGCTGGTGATGATTGCAAACCTCAGAATAAGGAAGGTTTGCTCACCTGCAAAAGCAACAGGAGATCTGCCCAGCCATCCACCCTGCCGCAGCACGCAGGCAGCAGGCCTTTGGAGTGCAGGAGCACCAGACCTCTCCCCTCGCAGCCAGAGCACTGCTTCTGAACGTGGAGCTGCACGTAGGCAAACCTGCCTAAGAAACCAAGTGATTCCTCTCCCTGCACGGAGATGTTTTGCCCCGGGATGCCAGCTAAACATGGAAAGGACTCAACCATGGGATGGACATGGGCAACGGCGCAGAAGAATGGTATAGCCTAAGAAAGGAGAAGCAAAGCAAGGGAAGAAACAGAGAGGGGGTTGAAGCAGCAATGACAGCAAAACGGACATGTAAACAGCACACAAGGGGAAAACAGTGCTCACCGTAAGCATTCCTTTACGTTAAAAACTGTCTCTAACCGTGTCTCTAACCGTTGCAAATGGTGGTGGTTCACGCCTCGGGGTTTGTGGCCACCAGGAACATGCATGGGAAGTCAGGTGGTGTGGGAACCGGCGACGGCGCGGCTGGCAGCCTGCAAACCCTGCTCAGGCCAGGACCTGCAGGTTCTCAGCTGCGCCGAAAATCAAGTTCCCCTTATTTACGACCCAAGGATAGACAGACGCAGGCTTCAGGGACCTTGTGGCCACCTTAAATGTGGTCGCTAGAGCCAACTCCAAGTCTCTTGCAGCCGACTCACCCGGCTGCGAAGTGCTGATTCCAGCGCCTTGCAGGGCCGTCTTCCTGTCCCGCGTCCCACCCCGCTCACGCGTGCACCCGCCGTCCTGCAGCCCAGCCTGCTCTTCCTCCATGCCGTCCCACTCCTCGCCACTCTTCCCCCCTTTGTCTCTACCTCGTTTCCTTCCATTTTGCCTCTCCGCTGCCTTTGCCCTTCCCAGCTAACCCTTTACTGTCACGCTCCAGACCTTCCAAAGTTTTGACAGGTTTCTTTTCCGAACTGGGAAGTGGTATCCCAGTCTACCACTGCACACAGTCTTCTGGTAAAAATCCCGTCCTCCCCTTGTCTCTGCATCTCCCCCCCTGCTTTCTACCATCTTCCTTTTGTTTGTCTTGGCTACTCTTTTGCCTGCTCTTAAACTGCAAACTCTTTGAGGGCAGTGCCAGAGTCCGGTCCACAGAATTCCATAAGGCACCTAATATGCTAAATATGATAAAAGGTCCTGGTTTAATTTTCTTTTGCTTTTGATTTTCAGTAAACTCACTTGAAAATCCAAGTAAGCAGGGCTCTCAGCAGACAGACGTACGTGTCCTGTCAACAGGAAGTTTCTCTTGCATAACTTCTCTGGCAGTGCTGGAAAGCTAAGTGCGGTTGGGTTTCTTTTTCCTCACAGCAAATTAATAGTCAGGACAAAAATGAAGCCATAAAGAAAAATCATTTCTGAGAAAGGCGATTCTAGAAAGGCAGATGATTTTTAGCACGCAGAGCTGCCCTCGTGAAACATCTGCTATGACGTAGCCCTGTGCTGGCCGCAGACCAAGCATATCAATAGCTCCACAGAGTACCGGGATAAGAAATGGGAAAATTGCCATTGCTTGTTTAGCAGCTTGTTTTGCTGATAAATGTCTGTCACTTTTCAAATAGCTACAGTGTAATTGTTTTTTGGGGAAAATATTTCCTTGAGCAGGAGGTTTGCAGGCCATTAGCTATTTCCCATCTGTGCTGGTGTTTTAATACACCACCTATACGCTTTGCTCCCTATTAGCAATTATTCACAGCTTTTGATTACGGGCAGGCAGCCTGAAGGTTTAGAAATCACGTCTCCCATTGAAAAGTTTTCTCTAGCCTCACAAAAAATTTAAATCTGAAAATCATTGGACCCACTATGTATGTTTTTGAAAGAACCTCTAAACACTGCTAGAAAAAAGTACACGTCTGTAATTTTAAAATAACGAATGACTGCACAAAGGCAGCAGCTGTTTGACCAAAGCGGTGGCCGCTGCGCGCTCCTTCCGTGGCCAGAGGCAGAGCATCACCGAGCCAAGCACTGCCACGTGCTGGAGTTCATCTCACCCCTCTTCAAATGGTGCCATGAAAAATTTTCAACTCCACCTGACAGCTGCTAGGACAGACAAGAGACAGACCCCTGGGTAATATCACACACCACCTCTAGTAACTATCCCCTTCGCTTCACACACGTACACTCAACGTGCAATTACTTGCAGTAAATTTAGCTGTGCCAAGACACAGAGGTATACTCTTACCTGCTTCAAGTGAAATATTAGATGTATACATTGCGGGGGAGAAACCAAGCCCAGTCCTTATTAATAAGTATCCTTCTCCTTTTTTTCCCCTCCTCCCATCAGAACAAAAAGCAGAGAAAGAAAACAGGAGAGGTGTAAAAATGTGGGTACTGTTGCAGATTTACTCCAGCGATAAACTTGTTTTGTCATCTGACTCCTTTGCGTTTCTTTAATTCAAGAGGATCACATGAAGTTTCCATCCTAACTGGTTTTTAGACTTCACAGAATATATCAGAGAGAAAAGAGGTTCAGGATTAGAAAGTGGCCCTCCAAGTCTGAATACAGGAATGGAGTGAAATTTCCAAGTCAGGTCCTGCACAGTGGGAAACTCACACCGTTATCTACCGCTGGGACCGACAGGCAAAAGGACCAACGTACAGGCAGTGACTGCTTTTCAGAATTTATTGTAAAAAATAGTATTAAACAATAGGAAAAAAGCCACTCCTTTTTCAACCCACCACATACTGCTTTATGTGGAAACAATGGAAAAATGTGACAGAAATGTATGTACCCATTCCTATCCATATATCAGATAATCCCAGCTACTCAGGACATGCTCATGGGAAAAATATTGGCAGTATCACAGCATATGGAAGTGGAAATAAAAAACATGCAGTATTTTCAATTGCAGTTGGGAGGCCTGTTTCCTGGAGTCTAAAGATCATGTTGTTTTATCTGTTTTCCTTTAGCATAATGTACATTATCAGACTCTCATAACTTCAGACACCAGCAGAAAGCCCTGATTTTTTGCCAATGGTGACATACCCACCTCAAAGATAAATGTGGAAGTCGGAATGTCTGCCTTATTTCTGTCTGCAATTTCCTTTCCATAGGAACATGCACATGATATAGTTCCTGCTAACAGATATTTAAAGCTTGGCTAGCCCTTTTTCACTTGTACCAGTTCAACCCCGCTGGAGGTCCTCAGGGCAGCACAAACAATGGAGAACAGACTTCCAACACCACACCACGTTTGTTTTGGCCAAAAACTGCTTATCCTAACGCCAGATTGTTTATGTTAAACATACTTGGTAGGTCTTCTGCTTTTGTCTACAAACAGAAACATGTCAGATTCTGCATTAAACTGTGTTACAGAAAATGTAAACCAATACATTTCACAATTTTTTTTTCACGGATTGTCTAGCTCATGACAAAACTGTGAAGCACCAGTGTTAACTTGAACAGAGCTCAACTTAAACAGAGCCCCAAAATAGTAAGTGCACATCTGGTGTAATTAACTTCAATACCAATTGGTGAAAAGTTGACTTAGCTTCAGTTTCATGCTCAAAAGCATTAATCAGAAAAAACGTAAATTACATGGCACCCTTGAGACCACCCCAGTTCCAAGTCAGGGGACGAACTTACACATACATAGGTGCATTGTTTCAGGTATGGCGTGAGTATAGAACCCAAATACTCAAAAAACAGGAGTCACCAGAAACCTACGGATAATGCTAAATAACAGTACCTAACCGCTTCTGTTTTTCCCCCACTGCTGTGCTTGCTGAAAACTGCTCACAGCAACCCCGCCAGTCTGAGGTGACTCACAACTGACAGTCGCTGTGTAGAGCGCAGTGGAAATTTTGGTCGTTCTGAAAGAAGATACAATGGAGCGATACAGGAATTTCCATACCAGGAGGACAAAGTCAAACATTTGTTCTCTTGCACATCATAAGAAGTATTTTTGGTTACAAATTACCACTGCAAACAATCTTTTCATGGATAAAACTAAAAATGTCTCTACCTAAAAACCTTTGAAAAGGGTCAAAACCCCACAAACCATAACTAAAAAGCTCTCCCTAAGACCTCTTTCCTTACGAGTTGCGACACTCTCCTCATTTTAAGAAAGACCCTCCTCTTGGTCAATCAATTCTGTTTTGGTCGAGAACACATCCGCCAGCATGTGCTTTGGGATTTCAGATCCCCGTACTTTTAACGTGTAGCAGGCATTCTCTACTTTTGCCAGACTCTGTTTCAAGGTATACAGCTTCTTAGATACTTCGTAAGGTCCAGTGTTGCCAATGAAAGTAAACCCGTCGTAAATCTGCCGTAAGAACTGGCTCAGTTCGAAAGGCGTGTCGATGTCGCCATTGCCAACGCTGCTGATGCACAGCCGCATCAGCTCGCCGGTCAGATCGGCCACTCCCAGCAGGTAATCTACAGGTGTTACCTTCAGGCTCCAAGTGTGTGGCAGTTTGTCGTGGGAATTGGAGGTCTGAGGACAGAACAGAACAAAGTCCAGTACAGAGAACGATGAAACACCAGTCTGTAATAGTTCAAATGCACACTAACTTATCTAACATAACTGGTAATGAAAAACATTCCAGAAAATCAAATTGCATGGCACTTCTACACAGTCTGATAATCTCCTCCCAGCATACCAGAAGGTATGAGAGCATCATTTCTGCTTGAGATGCGATTTCCATTCAAGCAAGCATGAGAAACGTACCCTGCTTGTAAACAGAATTATCACATCTTTGTACCAACATTTATTTGCAGTCGCTTTTTTCTTTTTTGCCGCAAGATCTCAGCCTAACAGATTTAAATTTTCCCTAAATGGTCTGCCCAAAGCTACCAAAGCAATCAAGAGTTTGCATTATGAAAACAAACCACATCATTTCGTAACAGTATCTTGAATTTCCAAATATATTTTCTACAAGAAGCTGACAGGTATAGTTCTCAGATCCATTTTATATCAACCAAACTCATTAAAATAGCTTAAAAAATACTTCATGAAGAAAACTTATCACAAAGCTACAGGTTTGCTCCTATATCTGTTTCCAATACTTTTTATTGCCAAAATATTGGTAACTTGTGAGACAATACAGTTTTCTTTCTGTTACCTTGTTCCCAGAACATGCTGTCCACCCAAATTCACAAACCTGGTCACAGGCGTGACTGCAGGGGTTAAGAGCTTCACAATGTGTTAAAACAAGCGTGCCACAATGGGCTTACCTCCGGTAGGAACAAATGAACTTAAGCTAAAAACTTGGCTTCTTTGCAAATATCTCACCAAGGGAATACAGAAAGAATAAAAAGTGCTTTACGGCAGAATGTCTTCACCAGCAGCAGACTGGGGAATTCATCTACAGCAGCAGTGCTGTGCGTTACTGGACACTGCAGGTGCACTTCTGGACACTACTACAAAAGTGCCTTTTGCCCCCTGTAAACAATCAGACTGTACCCAGGTTACGGTGGTCGGTGGCAGTAGTTTCTCCCTGTGCAAAAAGTTCTATTTAGAGCAAAGCAGGAGTATGGGCAAGTCAAAAACCAGCAGATACGGTGTATTAGGGCTAAGGTATGATGGGGCACGAGCTTGTCCTCTGACGGGAGGCGTCAAGATCAGCTCCAGGAAAGTCACAAATGACCCAGCTAAGACATACGCAGTGCATTTTTAGAGAAGCTGACGGCTGTCCCTCCTGTGACTAGTTCAGGAAGATGGCATTCACGGAGTTCATCCTGCCTTGGATTCACTTGCCTCTCCCACCTTTGGGGACATCACTGAACACCAGCAGGACTCACCGGCAACCCCAGCCATTAAAAATCCCTCCTCTGCATCTGCTTGTAGTATTTCGCTATCCTGGATCCTTCCCCCTACCAGAAGGGGTTCAGTTTGCTCTGAATAAAAAGGATGTGAAATTCATAAACTTGTATCCCACAGATTTAGTTTACTACTTGTCAGAATAAAAAGCATGTTTTGAACACGTGAGTCAAAGCCCACATGGCTATCTAATACCATTCCCCTAACTGGCCTTATTTAATCAGATGCCAAAAACGTGACTAAGCCTACTCACTGCATTTCCATCCCAGAAAGATCTTTGTCACATGAGAAAAGAAAAACTTTTACCGTGTTTGTTGTTTCTTCTCTGTCTTCTGCTGTAAATATTAGTTGTTTGTTGATCTCTTCGACACTAATCAAAGATCGTGTTTTGATAAAATATTGAAATGAGACTGCCTCAACATATTCTTGAAGTCCTGCAAAAATAGCAGAAGAATAAAGCTAATGATTCAAACCTTCCAGCAACGATCCATGCTCAAAATTATTTATTTTTTTTAGAAATCTTTGAAGTGAGACTATTTTAAGATTACTAGCAAAAAGTGAAAACTAAGATAATCCAGAAATAGCACTGAAACATAATTTAACATAGCATGCTTCTGAAGTACAAAAACCAGACCAAGAACACAGCAGATAAACATTTTCAAGTTTTTACTCCAACTGCATTTTTCATTCAGAATCTTTGGTAGCACCAGTACGAACCATCACGTTACTGTCAGAAACATTCTGAACAGCAGCTCCCCATAACGTCCCTCAGGGGTCCGTACGGGGACCAGCGCTGTTTAACGAGTGTTTCATCAACGACAGTGGGATCAAGAGCACCCTCTGCAAGATCTGCAGATGGCACCAAGCTGAGTGGTGCGGCTGACAGGCTGGAGGGAAGGGATGCCATCCAGAGGGGCCTGGCCAAGCTTGAGAAGTGGGTACATGGGAACCTCATGAGGTTCAACAAGGCCAAGTGCAGGGTTCTGCACATGGGTCGGGGTAACCCCCACTATCAACACAGGCTGGGGGATGAAGGGATGGAGAGCAGCCCTCCAGAGAAGGACTTGGGGGTGCTGGGGGATGAGAAGCTGGCCATGACCCAGCAGAGTGTGCTGGCAGCCCAGCAGGCCAACCGTGCCCTAGGCTGCATCCCCAGCAGCATGGGCACAGGGCGAGGGAGGGGATTCTGCCCCTCTGCCCCGCTCTGCTGAGACCCCCCTGGGAGTCCTGCGTCCAGCTCTGGAGCCCTCAGCACAGGACAGAGCTGGAGCTGTGGGAGCAGGGCCAGAGGAGGCCCCAGCAATGATCCGAGGGCTGGAACCCCTCTGCTGGGAGGAAAGGCTGGGAGAGCTGGGGCTGTTCAGCCTGGGGAAGGGAAGGCTGCGGGGAGGCCTTACTGTGACCCTTCAGTACTTAAAGGGGGCCTATAGGAAAGATGGTAATGGCTTTAAACTAAAAAAGGGTAGATTTAGACCAGCTATAAGGAAGAAATATTTTACAATGAGGGTGGTGAAACCCTGGCCCAGGTTGCCCAGAGGTGGTCGATGCCCCATCCCTGGAAACATTCCAGGCCAGGTTGGACGGAGCTCTGAGCAACCTGACCCAGGTGAAGATGTCCCTGCTCACTGCACGGGTGTTGGGCTGGATGGCCTCTGAAGGTCCCTTCCAACCCAAAGCATTCTATGATTCTATGATAATGGAGCTTTTAAAATACGCGTTTGTATGCTGAAGAGCAGAGATTACTATTTCACAGTTCACAAAGACACAGGACACAATCAGAGAAAAAGTCTGCAGATAAACCAAAAGCAAGAAAGGCAGCTCACCTACCAAAAAAAACACATATACAGAAGTTTCCTTTGTTTCATCTTATTAGCAACAGTTGATACTTGTTTAAAACTGAATCTCCCACTTCTCTGTTTTGCGGGAATTAGTGAACAGGCTCCTTAAAACACGCAGGTTAGGTGAAATTTATCTTCAGGAGAAAGCATCTGTTGTTACAATCTCTGCAGCCCAAAAAACCAAACCCCCAAAAATCAAGCAGACAGGGCTGTGATGTCCAACGAGAGGAGTGTACTGAACAGCAGCTCTGTCCGAAAGAACTCACCCTCTAAAAAAAAGGCATGCAGGGGGACAAAAGGAGTCGGCGTTCTGGCAAGGAAACAAAAGATGGGCTAACAAATGTAGCTTCTACCAGATCGCTATGCCATCTGCAGCCACCTGCGACAATCACCTCTCGCTACCTACTTAGCAGATGGTGAGTCTCTGTATGCATTATAGCAAAGGTGAGATCTGAGAAGGAGCTTGAATGCTCAGGCAGTGATTTCACAGGTTCTGTCAGTTTTTCCTTACGTGCAGAGAGAAGATCTGGGGAAATCCGGTGGGAAAAGTTCATGAGCAAAGAGCTGAAGCTGGCACGGGTGGTAGAAGAAAAGCAGAAACAAACCTGGAACAAACAGCCATGGCAGAATTAAGCTACAAAAAGTTTTGAAGACAAAATCGATGCACGTGTGTATCTGACCTACGGATGGAGGAAGCACCAAAGGCAGACGTTAAAGGAAGATGACAGAGAGGGCTCTCGCAGAGCCACTCTGAGCCATTGTGGAGGGATGGTTTCACTTCAAGGGAAGCAAAGAGGTGACACTGCCGTATCACACGGCAAGAGGACCAGGATTAGATGATAGTTTTACCAGTGAGTAAAGTGAGAAAATGTGGAGGTACTCACAGGTACCAGAAGTAGAATCCTGGTTCCACTGGAATAATCTTAAAACCCTCAACTGGCCTCTACAGGGCCAGAACCTCAGCCTATGCAGATACGCAGGAAGAAGCAAATTTAGACTTCATCTGGAACAAAGAAAAAGTCTAAATCAAAAAGAAGAGAGCAGAGATTTGAAAAATAGATGAGGGTGGAAATACCCCCGAAAAACTAGAGGTAAGGTCAAGAGAAAATTAAATTGTAGAAGGCTTTCCACGCTACAGTCACAACAGTGTGATGAGTAACCCGCATTTATTCCTTTTAAATATGTATTTGCAAGGTGAGTGGAGGCAGTTCCGCCTGCACCCTTCATGCTTCGGCACAGCAGCAGTGGGAAAGGCAGAGTAAACATCCAGCAACCGCAGCCACACGGAGCGTTGCTGTTCACAAATTAGAACACACAATCAGGGAGCTGCAAGGCCAATTAAATACAGTAAATTAATCAGCTGAATTCAGGTAAAGCATTCTGGGCACAAGCAATAGAAGAATACTAGATAAAAGCTACTCAGCATCTTCTAAGATAAATAACTTCAGAAGCTGCAGAGGGGTAGATTTCACCACCCATTCTTTTCCTGACTTACCCTCTGACGCAACACGGTCAGGAATTCATTACAAAATTTTGGCTTTTTCTGTGGATAAGCTGTAAACTACCAGATACAGCACTACTCAACACGACAACATCTGTGAGAATCTCTCTCTGCTATCTGCGGAGAAGGCTATCACCTATGAAGAATCCACTTGCCATCTTCCCAAGTTCTCAGGGAGATCAAATCAGCTCTCAAACTTTTCAGTAGTGTTTTCTCCATCAACCATAACTTCCAGTTTCAGCTCACTCCACTTTACTGCTGCTCCACACACGTTTTGTTCTTTTCCAGGATAAGTGTTTGGCTCCTCCATTCATTTATTTTTCCGTATTTTTTATATAGGCATTGTTATATGCACACATACACACACACTTCTGCTTCCTCCCACCCCAGCTGACGTGTTCCACTCTTCTCCTCGCTCCTTCTGTTGAATGCCACCACGTGAATGTTGCACGCACAGTCTCATTTGCCATTTACTGTCACCTTTTCACAGCTAGGGAATCTATCTCTCCCTATTGACAAACAAGCCTTACAAAACCTCATTAAAGCTGTTACCATTACAAACAGACTGGTAACAAATCCTGGTTACAACTACTTTGCAAAAAAAAAAAACCCAACATATTTAACTTTTTTTTTTTTTTTTCCCTTTTTAAAATCCTTCCTCCAGAAGTAGCTACAGCATGACACTTCAGTGACCCAAGACCTTGAGAGAAGGTGTTTCCATGTGCAGGTAGAAGGATGTTTAAACATGTTATGTTTTAGCCTAATGGTAGGACATCCGCTTTTTTCAGCAAATAATCCCCAAGGTGAAAAACACCATCCCATTTCACTACACCATCCAACAATATCTTTCCCTTTATGCTCTTGTTTTGGATTTATTCCAACATTGGCTTATTTCTGGATTGGGCTGCCAGCAATGGAATAGTTTGTAAGACTGCCTTTTATGTAATTTTTTTTTCTAGTACACAGACTGAAAATCCCAATTAAAAGTACTGTATTATTTCTACTAGCACCTCTTAAAATTACAGATGTGAGGTAACAAAATGCTTAAGTATTTTGATATTTTATTACGTTTACTCTATACAAATGGCTTGTACTAGTGACAAGTTACAGTAACGCAGTATAACAGCATCTTTCTACATTTTGAAAGTTTATTTTCTGTGTAAGCACTAGAAAGTTACACTGAGGTATCTTCTGAGCACCTACGATCTACAATTTTGTGCCTGAAAGTCTGTGCATTTTTTTATCAGCTATATCAGCTAATATTCAAGACATCTATCCTTATCTACATATGCAAGCTCTGAGAAGGAACTGTTAAGCAGCTTCTCTAATAAGAAACTCAGCAAGGTATCAGATTTCTTCAAAAAAACAAGTCATTCGAGCACTTAATCCAAGAGTCAAATGAATGTGTAAGAGGTAGGAAAAGACAGTTCGACTTAAAAGAATGAGTAAAGAATACAAGTTCCTTAATTGCAAGAGTCAGGCTAGGGCAAATCTAATTCCACCCAAAACGTACAAGCATGCATGCATGGAAGTTTTAACCCAGAATGACAGATTAAGCAAGAGCTGAAAGTATCCTCCTAAAATTTTGTTTACTTCATTTCCTCCTTTAAATACCCGTTCACCAGTTAAAAAATGGGTTAAAATGGATTTCATGCCTCAGTTCTTAAGGTCAGCAATGCCAATGCTACGCGCCCTCTTTCCAAATAAGCTGCTTCTCTCCCTGTTTCTTCTCAAACTCATTTTCCTTCTATCCCTTCGGCCTCTTCCCTTCCTCTGTATCTTTTTGCTCTCGGAGCAGCCTGTGCTGATGGTTTGGATGCAAGCAGGCGACAGCCTGTGTTCTCTCCCCCAGCTCCTACCCTGACCTCTGAAGGCCACTAGAAAGATGGTAGGAAAATAAACACAGCAAGTTTCTTCCAGGATCGCTGTATGAAGGGTGGGGCACATTATTTACAGGGCGAGTCATCTGAAACTACCCACTTGCAAATTCATCACAAAATGAAAACAGCACAGCCACAGATCTATCTTATCAACATGTTTAGGCTGGCAAGTAACACTCTTGTTAAAAAAAAATAAATTCAAAAAAACCCACAAA